CACCGGCATCTTCAATTAGACCGACCACTGAAGGTGAATGGCCAGCAATACTAGTAGGTGATTTAAGTATTGATGGTAAATTAACATTACTATATAATAATGGTAAATTTTCCTTTGAGGTAATATACACTTTATTATAAATATCAACCATGATTGAGTGAAACTTACATGGGCAAGTTGCCGGATGTTCTGTTGAGTATAAAGTCTTATTTTGTGTATTAGCATGTGCTAATTAATCCTTTGTAATATTTAGTCATTTGATTTGAAAGCAAGAACCTTGAAGTAAACTGTAGATGACCATGTGAAAAAAATTCTATAAAATACCATGACCCTAAACGAGAATTCTAATTACTTACAGATTTTACTCAGTTTGGTTTCGATTTTGTAATGATGCTAGTTGAATATTTTGACAATCAATAGAGGTTCGCACTTCAGATAATGAGATATGACATTATGTTTCTAATGTATTATTAGAATCATTGTTACCGTCTATATTATTCGGCAAACAAAAACGTGTCAAGTGGTTTATGAATGCTCTACTTCTCATCCTAGAGAATATCTAGATATATGGGAACAAACAGAAAATTGTGAAGTCGAATGTCAAAATGATCATGAAAATAACACTAATAGGTTGAGTTTTAAAGTGCAAAACATCTTCCTAAACTTGCTTCAGGGGGTTCGTTAGCATGATTCACTTCTTCAAGCTGCATAGTCTACTGATCAGATGAATTCGTTTGTTTTCGTTAACGTATCTTTAGAGTCTGATCGTACAGTAACGCTGTTTGTTTTTCATGCTTATTTGGGCAGTTCAGTCAATTTTCATATGAAAATGCAGATTCATTACCATCCCAACCTATCAATTTCCTTTACCGTAAGTACAATATTCCTCTACTGCAATGTATAAAGGAAAAGAAGAGGATTACGATAATGGACCACACCTGTTAGAAGGTAAGAATAAAATGCATTCTAGATGTTTTTCAAAGAACTAGCTCTTTCACTGTACCATAACTTTTAAAAGCACTACAATTAATAAAACAGCCATTATTTGTATGTAGGATGCAAATGTGGGTTTCGCGCTTACGTTGTGGATATGTACATTCCCATACACCGTAATAATGCATTTGAAAGGCATAACTGTGTTGAAATTCGTTCGTATACAGTGTACAGTGTAACCACTTGTTTATTAAACACGATATTTATGTTACGTAAGGATTCTAATACAAAATTCAGTGGTATTAGTAAACAGAGCAAGCGGATATACATACAAATGAAACAGGGATTGGCACAAGAGCCAAATCGAAGCACAAATCTTTATTTATGCTCGTATGTAATTCAGGCAGACGTTCAATACGTAAGTGATAAACAAGAAAACACATTGACAGTACACTAATGAAAACACATATTCGAAATGCACAGTAATTAACAGAATTAAAAGACATAGATACTACGAAAATTCTCAGTATGAGGAATCTCTTAATAATTTGTTGAATTCAAATTTGCTATAAATTTTCTATTTTTATTTCATTCACTGTTGTACACACAATTGTAATTTCTATATTTTAGCAACATATTACTGTTTAATTAAATTCTTGTTTCATTCTTCTTATTTAAAACATAAGTTAATCCAATACGTTTCTGACCGAAATCAAATACGGTATAGAATCTTCTCATAAAAACGTCACCGAGAATCCAAAAATTCGGTGGTACAGAATCATCAATGTCAAAAGGTGACGAACACACTGTTTTAAACCAAAAGTCCTCCTGTAATCAAATGAGGAAGACAACAATACAGAAGTAAATTGTTTTGTTCTTATTAGTTAAAATAGTATTTTTAAAAACGATTAAAGACTAGATGCTTATTATTCTCGTCTGTTATTTGCTTTCACATTTATAGAATGGTATAATTTATCTGTGAGTGTGAAAGTGTGTAGTTCATATTTTCTACCACAACAGTAGTTCATATTGAATTATTTAAATATCAATTTAAACTTCGCTTTTATTGAAATTTTCTAGGATCAATTATAAACCTAGGAAAGTATTTCGATTGGTAAACAGTTTTGCATTTCCCATTTCAAAGAAAGGAAACTGTTATTAAGTAGTAAACTCTCGCTTACTGCCTTGTCAATTACAACTTCTATTAATACATTATACACTGAAAGCTAACTTTACCAGCTTCATTTTAATCAGATAATTAACTGTCCTTAACAGTTAATAAATTTCAAATATCTGGTGATCGTTCGCTATCAGAAAAATTGAATCTATACACATGGATTCAGCTTGAATTTAGGAGAAGCGGTTCGACTAGTAAATTTTACATTGTACAAGAATTGTTTGTTAGTACAGAAAATATCATACACGTTGTTAACAATGATATTATTGTTGAAACCTCCAACATGTGTGCATTCTAAAGGGATTTTTGTAGTTCTGATTCATCTGTTGCACCGTCTAAATAACTGGAATTACACAATAAGATTAACTAAAGTCATTATATTACTCTGTATTTTGCAAGTTTTATTTCCGTAGAACTGACTTAAAATTGTGAAAGTGAACACACTGAATACACAATATATAACTAAACTGATCTAAAGAAGTCATTCACCTTAATAACATAATCTTGTGGTTCCAATATGTACTTCCTTTTACGAAAGATAAACTTGATACGGGGCAGCATGTCGATTCGTTTACAGTCAAGGAAATTTCTTCTACCAAGTTGAAAGGAAATACCAAGCATTGTGTTGATTCTTGTCACTTGCTCTCTTCCACCAATAATCGTTGATGTCCCAGTATCAATAGAAGCAGTACATCCATTGCAAAACTCAATATCATTTATCATCAAGCTGAATGTACATCAAAACATTTTAAAAAAGCAAGATGTAGAACTACCCAAAAAATAAACAAAAGCAGTTTATTTTGAAAAACGAACACTGAGTCAGGTTATTGAAACACTTTTTAAATCAACTTTGTTTAGCGACTTATAATGATCATACACTTCATTCTTGTTACAGTTCGTTGAACGAATGCGTCTATTTGTTGGTGTTGATATTCCTAATGACATCCGCATTCAAGGCAGTGTAACTGTTGATTTCTCACCAAACAAATGAGTCACGTGTGAAATGCCAAAATATAAACTAGACATTTATCTGTTAAATACGTTACTAATGATGGCAAGACGACATGAAAAGTAGTAACTATAAACGTCAAATCGTGAGGACTTCAAGGTATGAGTAGCCGCTCATACCACAATCAACGTTGAGTCCTCTGAACGCCCAAACAAGAAACAATATGCATAATAAATGATCAACTAGATAGAATCAATGACCTTTGACAAAACCGAATAACGTCATTCATCGAAAAATGAACTGAGAGCTAGTCAACGCTAAATTTGGAAGTTGTCGCAAATAAATTAAATTACATCGAGCTACACGTGAAATAAATAAAATTACCTGAGAATGGTGGAGAAATACAATTACAGCAATAAAATGGATGAAATGCCTAGCGCACGTGTAAATATTTAGGTATATCTCACGAACCAATAAACCGACTCTATGAGAAACACGTTCAAAAATGTCCGTTGATAACATGAACTACTTACTACTACACAATAACATAACTAAGGAACAATAATGGACATGGGAAGAACTGAATTGACAGTTTAAAAACGTAATCAACCCTAGCAATTTGTTGCATGAAAATCATAAATACTTGTTAAGTTGTTAGAAATTCTGAGCAAAATCACACTTCAAATGTGACATTCTAGCGATATACATGAACTACATCGAGGGTGAGTTGACAAACAAGCACAAATCATTCCAGAAGCAAATAACGTTACCTAATGTAGTTGCAAAATAACAGTTGTAAATAAGAAGAAATATGAAAGGGGCAAAATACAAATAGTAGAAAAGTTGAATAAATGTAACCGCTTTGTAAATTCTCTTGTGAAACACTAGACTAGATCATGAACAAACTTATTTATAAACCATTCAGTGTATCATTCATCCAACAGACATCTTCACTTAATAATTATATCTCCAATTATAATACTTTCATGTAGCTAGCGTAATGAACTGCAATATTATCGTCATAGTTTGAACTCACTGACAGATTGAGCACATACTTTACTTTACTTTTAATGTGACCGTGTTCTTTCATTTCAAGTGACAAGTTGGCAACACTTCACACAGTATCGTTTGAAACAGGTTTACCTGTGAGCTTGCCAAATAACTGAAGTTGTGTCGCAAATAGGTATTGCAACTTGTCAACAAGTATAATGGTAACCGTAATATGAAGCACTGTTCAGACTAATAACTCAGTTGGATATATGATCGGTGAATAGAAAGTGATCGCTTGATTGGCTCAGTGTATTTGACTGATGTGTGTTCGAGTTGGTGAGGAAGGGAAGTCTCTCTAGATTTCAGAAGTTCACCTTCCTACATGGATCACCACAGAAATCCTCTATAGTAACTTCAGAAAAATTAGTCTATTCGATGTCAAGTCACATCTTGCGGCATTCGTTTTATAAAGCTTGATGAACGTGATCTATTCTCCTTTCATACATTAACAAGAAAAATTATGTTGATTTATTTTAATAGGTTGATGAAGAAACCCGTTGATTTACATTAACTCCCAAATACTCAGACCACGCACTACGTTCATCATGAGAGTAGTCAATAAGAAACATGAATTTTATCTTACAGTACTAGACCATGGAGACCTAGTCACGAGGTAAGCTCTGCTTTAAACACTTCTCGTAAATCAATATTCAAATATACATATATACATTGTCCATCGAGAAAAAATCTCTCAAGAGTTTCGAAATCGAATGTTCTTCAGTTATGCAAATACGTAAAACAGTTCAAATAATGTCAATTTTCCGGCTTCACCTCATTTAGACAAATAAAACAATATATAACTTCACTCCACCAAACAAACTTTCCAACAAGTTAATTTGCACTTTCCGAAAGCGATTGAGATGTACATATCTTATTGAACTTGATCAAACACTACCTTGACATTCGAACTGCCCATATATTGTTGTTTACGATCGGCATATATTCGAAATCTCCCTCAAAATATTCAGGATTAACACCACCAAGTACCATTTCACCACCGAACGAAGTCCCATTTTCCCTACAACGAAGTAATAAATCCATTTTATTATCATTCATATCATTCCCACTGTAAAAATATATTACTATAAAACGTCACACCAACTGAAATCAACAATGTTGTCACGGTATCACCTGATACGTGAATAAGTCAAAGTGTATAATCACCCTGTTTCATAACTGTTCGGCATTTAAATTATATTCATTTTATAGTGTCGATTTACACTATCCATGTAAAGGGTAACAAAATTCACTAAGTAAAACACAAACACAGAAAGAAATAGGAGTATTTGTTGATGAATACACAAACATGATACCTGACAAGCATTATTACCGATCATTTTGAATTAAAACAATGAATGTCTGAAATAGTAGTTCATTAAACCATAAAAAATCCATGAAATATTGAATAGTATTTATGAAATGTCCTTGTTTAACATTCACAGATTCGATCGACATAGCTTCTTTCAAAAAAATTCACAGAATGTACATTTTCATAAAAACTAAGAAATTAGTGTTGTAAAGTTCGGGATGCACTAGTGCATTATTTATGAGAAGATCAATGAAGACTGAATAATGTTTTTTCAAAGATAAATTTCAAATGAAACTGGAACAAAACGATTAACAACATAAAATGTACTCATACGGATGCATAAAATATGAGGATGTGAATAGATATTGACGAGATAAAAATCAAATGAGAGAATTCTACTCACAATTAAATGTACAGTCGATAAATACAATACTTCCATCGTCCATGGGAAGGTATATTTTGTCAATCGCTCGTCTAAATACATCAATCCACTTTTGCATTAGAATCATTGTTAAGTGAGCCGAGACATTATAATTTGATGTTATCACTGACATTAGTCACACTTCTTTTAGTAAATCGTAACCTGATGTGAAAATATAAACCTACAGTCAACATGTTATGTGGATTAATTGAAACTTCACCATCAAATAACTAGCAGTACACACAAGACGAATTTGTATGTTTTCATGACAACAATTAAAACTGATGTAATTAAAATTCGAACAGAGTAAGGCTGTGGTGTCTCAACTACTTGTATTTCAAACATAATGACTGGTTGCAAATGCAGTTACTGAGATCAACCGTTGTCAACCAAATATCAAATGAAAAAGATTATAATTAAGCTTTTCTCAGTTGAGTGATATTCAAAACTGAATGATTACATTATACAAAATCTGAATTTAATATATACGAATCTAACTCGACTTATTGCACAACTCACTGACTTAAATAAAATGAAAATATTGGGTCCATATTCGGGAAAGTCTGAAGTAAATTTGGGAATACTGGGATATTCCCATATTTCGACATCCGTCTAGTCGACATGCCAATTATTCCATCATATTTATCAGATAAGTAATCCAGATTAAATATACTCCTCACTTCAGCAAACGCTTGATTCCGAATCTCCAACGAGTTTATCTGCAACGGTATTTTATTTCGAAACATTCGTAATTCTTACTCGTATAGTGTCCACACTCCAAAATCCAGAGTAATCACTGTCTAAATAATGGACATTATAAATGGAACCGTTTGGTCTGTAAGTGGATGATTTTGAGCTGTCGTAAAATGAAAACATCCAACAAAATATATCAAGAAACCAACACTTCCTTGAAGCGAGCCATGTGTCAGTGGATCCTGTATCAAACAATACTCGTAACTTTTGAGGTGGAGTTCCCACTGATATCTCACCATAATACTGAAGCTAAATTAAAAGATTAAAAGATCGCATTCAACATTTAGACAGTGTGATATGCAAATAATAATTATTCTTCTATACTTTAAAAATTCTTTTAATTTGAAATAACTTTCAGATAATATGCACTTCTGGTCATGATATTTTGTTATTTGTATCGGTGATTAAATTGCCGGATTTTTCCATGAATTTATGACACTTTGCCTGTTGAGAACTATATCAATGAGCAATATTCCGTTGTATCCATTTTCACAGGCATACTTCAACAGTTAAATACCATAACTTCAATTTCTACGTCGCTGTGTCATCGTGGTTACTTTTGGAAAATAGTCCACTTAGTTTATTTCACACACAAAATATCAGACCAAATCTAATTCACAAGAAGGGAAGTCGTCATATTTCGTGTTGCTTATTAGATATACATTAAGTTGGATTTCATACTATGAACATGATTGATACACTTACGTTTTCATAATTAATCAATTGTTCCGGTGTAGATGTATTCTGCTTATTCCATTCATACTTCCATTTTCTCGTCGAAGGCTTAAAGTAAGTCGCACCAAGTCCCACCAATGAATCAGATCTTTTCAAAGGGTGGAGAGGAATTCTCACAATCTCACCATATAAATATGGTAGGAAACCGACAATTATGAATCGAATCATTGAAATCGGTTTGAGTACGCTGAAACGTAGTGATGTTTATGTCACTTTTATTTTGTTTTCATCATGTTTTATTGACAAAGATGTGTTAAATTAACTAGAGGATTGACTATAAACAAACCTGATTACTAGTGGTAATTCGATACTTGTTTAATGTGCGTCACTATCACCAAGAAAATGGTTTGAATTACTAAGGAAACACACTTTTATTCTGTGAATCATTGTTTGATGGGAACAGCTTCTAATGTGTATCAAAATTACGATAATGTATCAGTGTGATCTCCAACTCAAACTATACGAGTATTGTTTGATACAGGATCCACTGACACATGGTTCGCTTCAAGGAAGTGTTGGTTTCTTGATATATTTTGTTGGATGTTTTCATTTTACGATAGGTCGAAATCGTCGACTTATGTAGCAGATGGTTCCAGTTTTCATGTCAGTTATCTGGATTTTGGAGTGTGGACACTATACGAGTAAGAATTACGAATGTTTCGAAATAAAATACCGTTGCAGATAAACTCGTTGGAGATTCGGAATCAAGCGTTTGCTGAAGTGAGGAGTATATTTAATCTGGATTACTTATCTGATAAATATGATGGAATATTAGTATAGGGTTTGTGGAGATTATTAAGTTCTTGATTGAGATCATGCACCGACTGATGTTAGACCACCACCTTTGGAAACCTGAGAACACCGTGGATGTGCACTGCTGAGGAGTCCCACGATAGGATGAAAGGGCCGTCCAGTTGTTCCAGATTTCCAAGCTGGTAGTTAAACATCAATCGGTTTATGATGGAATAATTGGTATGCCAATTTGACGGATGCCGATATATGCGAATATCTCAGTATTCCCAAATATACGTCAGAATCTCCCGAACATGGATCTAGTGTTTACGTAGTTTCGTTTGTTCATAGACTGAGTAAATTGGGAAAAATTTTCGCCTAGCCAAATTGCTACGACCCGGTAAGCATTCGTCCACACCCGTCTCTTGACTTTCATCCTTCCTATATCCGTACACTCAGTCACCCATTGAGTTTCATAATTCCAACGATATGGACATAATAGTCTAGGTTGACTAGATAGTTATCCACATTTTCGAACGACTTTGGCAACAGATAAAACAAATAACAACTTCGGATATTAATTTTGTTTTCTTCAAATATTTTCAAATACATTCAGGCATTCTCAATATCTTCATTATTCACAAACATATCGACAGAATAATTCAATCATACGTTCATCCAAACGATTTAAGTATGGGATATTGGAGTCAAACGACCGTGTAATATAATAGATGCTATCGATGAATTGCTTTACTAGATCACAGATCCCTGAAGAAATTTATGGTGTCTACACTGCATAATACAGTGAAATTACTGTCCAGGTAACTGACATGAAAATTTCAACCATCTGCTACATAGGTGGACGAATTCGAGCTATCGTAAAATGAAAACATCCAACAAAATATATCAAGAAACCAACACTTCCTTGAAGCTAACCATGTGTCAGTGGATCCTGTATCAAACAATACTCGTATAGTTTGAGTTTGAGTTCCCACTGACATCTCACCATAATACTAAATCTTAACATAAGGATAATTGAAGCACGAACATCATATAGTGTGACATGGTGTCAGAGCAATCGATTTGTTTTTGTTATCTAACGCTAGATATGACGTTATCCCTCCGTTGACGAATCATAGTTGATCGGAATATGTTTTTATTTCCATAACTGATTTTAATGTCTACAAACTTCACCAGTATGTGACAGAATTTCAGTTGATAGGAAGCGAGTAAAATATATTCTATCCTACTCATATCTCTAAACAGATATTATCAATTCAATCATCACTCCTTCTACTACACAATCACTGTGTCATAGTTACATTGTAGTGTCAGTCATTATTTTAAGCCCATATATCTTATATTCTAGTTTTCGGACATTCCATTTTATTCATTCTACTTGAGTCATATTTTGACCTTGTCAATTATTCACTTATCAGTCTTGACTGTTTTTATATATGAGCGTATATTTGTGTACACTTCATGTCCCATGATTCATCACATATCTGTAGTTTATTTTGTCTGCCTATAAATATTGAGTAACGCTTAATTAAAATGGAGTTGGCTTCCCAGCCATCTTCCATACGCGTCATTTTGCTTGGCTCTGTTTCATTCACTTCATATACAAAATATATGTATTTACAAATCAATTCTCGTTATTCGACTTATTTAATTCCGTTATTGGCTAACGCGATTAAGTCGACGATTATATACGAGAATAGGTGATAACCAACATTTATACCATCAAAATGGAGTCAGATCAACGGGCCACCAAAAGTGGTAAGCCCGACGACGACGAACCTAACGCAGCAAGCTACGTCGATGAAGAGATTTCTGCACTTGATACATTCGACGAACACACTCAACGGGTCTCAAAAACATCAGTGGGAAACATCCACTTAGTCTATTTCATGCACATATTAACGAGTGGCATCTACTTCGTATCAGATCAACCCACATTACTTGAAGGAAAGAAAGTTTGAGACTAACAATCTGACTGTAACACGTACATTTCTAAAATTAACGAGTGTTTCGATGGTAATATATTTTATGCTTCCACTCATTCCCTCGATTTCTCGTCGAAGACATAAAGTAACTGTTGTGAACTACAAATTGTGTAGCACGTCGTTACATCTAGTAGAGAGGGACTTTCACAAATTCACTATGTAAATGCGGTCGAAACGTGAGAGTTATGAGTAGACTCATTGAATTCCCATTCACAGTCTGGTAGATAATGGTGTTCGTGTTACTCTGGTTTTATTTCATCATGCCATTATTGACATAAACATCTTCAAGCAACCTGATCAATATATTGCAAATCAAGCTGTTTATTTGTAGTAATCTGATTCTTGTTTATCTTGTATGAATGGTTTGTTTTACTTACTTCTTAAATTTCAGAGTAATCATTTCCATTGTGCACCTTATCATTTCATCAAAATAACAGTTGTTCAATAGAAAATTCTTATAAATTTGCTGAAAAATGCCTCCTAGCTCTAACATTACATTTTCAGTTAGCTTGCATTCAATCGTTTGAACGTACATCAGCCAAACTGCATTCCACCCATTTGAGATTGACCACTATCACCGGCATCTTCAATTAGACCGACCACTGAAGGTGAATGGCCAGCAATACTAGTAGGTGATTTAAGTATTGATGGTAAATTAACATTACTATATAATAATGGTAAATTTTCCTTTGAGGTAATATACACTTTATTATAAATATCAACCATGATTGAGTGAAACTTACATGGGCAAGGTGCCGGATGTTCTGTTGAGTATACAGTCTTATTTTGTGTATTAGCATGTGCTAATTAATCCTTTGTAATATTTAGTCATTTGATTTGAAAGCAAGAACCTTGAAGTAAACTGTAGATGACCATGTGAAAAAAATTCTATAAAATACCATGACCCTAAACGAGAATTCTAATTACTTACAGATTTTACTCAGTTTGGTTTCGATTTTGTAATGATGCTAGTTGAATATTTTGACAATCAATAGAGGTTCGCACTTCAGATAATGAGATATGACATTATGTTTCTAATGTATTATTAGAATCATTGTTACCGTCTATATTATTCGGCAAACAAAAACGTGTCAAGTGGTTTATGAATGCTCTACTTCTCATCCTAGAGAATATCTAGATATATGGGAACAAACAGAAAATTGTGAAGTCGAATGTCAAAATGATCATGAAAATAACACTAATAGGTTGAGTTTTAAAGTGCAAAACATCTTCCTAAACTTGCTTCAGGGGGTTCGTTAGCATGATTCACTTCTTCAAGCTGCATAGTCTACTGATCAGATGAATTCGTTTGTTTTCGTTAACGTATCTTTAGAGTCTGATCGTACAGTAACGCTGTTTGTTTTTCATGCTTATTTGGGCAGTTCAGTCAATTTTCATATGAAAATGCAGATTCATTACCATCCCAACCTATCAATTTCCTTTACCGTAAGTACAATATTCCTCTACTGCAATGTATAAAGGAAAAGAAGGGGATTACGATAATGGACCACACCTGTTAGAAGGTAAGAATAAAATGCATTCTAGATGTTTTTCAAAGAACTAGCTCTTTCACTGTACCATAACTTTTAAAAGCACTACAATTAATAAAACAGCCATTATTTGTATGTAGGATGCAAATGTGGGTTTCGCGCTTACGTTGTGGATATGTACATTCCCATACACCGTAATAATGCATTTGAAAGGCATAACTGTGTTGAAATTCGTTCGTATACAGTGTACAGTGTAACCACTTGTTTATTAAACACGATATTTATGTTACGTAAGGATTCTAATACAAAATTCAGTGGTATTAGTAAACAGAGCAAGCGGATATACATACAAATGAAACAGGGATTGGCACAAGAGCCAAATCGAAGCACAAATCTTTATTTATGCTCGTATGTAATTCAGGCAGACGTTCAATACGTAAGTGATAAACAAGAAAACACATTGACAGTACACTAATGAAAACACATATTCGAAATGCATAGTAATTAACAGAATTAAAAGACATAGATACTACGAAAATTCTCAGTATGAGGAATCTCTTAATAATTTGTTGAATTCAAATTTGCTATAAATTTTCTATTTTTATTTCATTCACTGTTGTACACACAATTGTAATTTCTATATTTTAGCAACATATTACTGTTTAATTAAATTCTTGTTTCATTCTTCTTATTTAAAACATAAGTTAATCCAATACGTTTCTGACCGAAATCAAATACGGTATAGAATCTTCTCATAAAAACGTCACCGAGAATCCAAAAATTCGGTGGTACAGAATCATCAATGTCAAAAGGTGACGAACACACTGTTTTAAACCAAAAGTCCTCCTGTAATCAAATGAGGAAGACAACAATACAGAAGTAAATTGTTTTGTTCTTATTAGTTAAAATAGTATTTTTAAAAACGATTAAAGACTAGATG